TTGTTTAACAGGCAGGTGCCTGGGCTCCACTCAGGGTCTGAGTCAGGTCATCATTGGGCCCAGGAGGCTGCACTGTGAACCTGCCTCCAGTATAGAGCAGGCTAGGTGGGCAGGGCTCAGGCCTCTGCTCTAGCTGGGCTGCAACACCCGTACTGCTCTGCTCCCAGACACCTGCCTGGCTCACTCCCTCTCCTCCTTCAAGTCTTTCCTCAAATCACCTTCTCTGACCACCCAGGTAATTCCACACGCTGCTCCACCTCCCATACAGCAGTTCCCCCGCCCATTCTTCCTTTCCTTTTTTTTATAGCCTTTTCCCCCTTCAAACGTACCGCAACTTTACTTATTTATTATGTTACAGTTTCTTTTCAGTTCCCCCTTCTAAACTCCATGAGAGCAAGGGTCTCAGATGGTTTTGTTAATTGCTGTTTTCTCAAATGCGAAGAACCATATTGGCTACTGGGGAGCTCAGTAACATTTACAAATGAACATATGAATGAGTGGATGAATGATACTATAATGCGATTATCCGAAGTCTGGGTCCCCTTCTGGACTACAGGTTTCTCAGGTTCTGCCATTGTCCCAAGGGGTTTTGGTTAGGGTTTGTTGATGATTATTGGTAACTAACCAATTAGTGAGGGATGACGGGAATGGAGGAATTGATCAGTCGTAGCTCCAGGTGAATGTTGATGGTTGAAAGAAGATTTGCCCAGAGGAAAACCCTCATGTCCCTCAACCTCCTGCATTTCCCACCACTCCCTCAGCTGATGCTCTCTCCTAGCAGTGGGCCCCCCTCCCAGCACAGCGCTGTCCCGTGGATTTGCCAAAAGGGGTCGCTGAATCCTAACTTTCCTTCCTGGCTCAGAAAACTCAGGGCAGCTACAGCTCAGGACTCAGAAGCCAGGGTGAGAGTGGAAGGGAAGGCCTGGGAAGGCCCAGAACCCCTCCTAGAGCCGCCAGTGTGTCTTCTGCAAGTATCATGTCCAATAAAGTACTGGGCACCTGGCTGGGCTCAGGCAATACAATCCCGTTCTAACTCAACTCAGATGCAAACCCTGGACTCTCCTTAAAGGTTCTAAGCTGCTAGTTGCCCACCTGCATGTGCTCTGACCGTGGCACTCGTACCTAACTAGATTGCAAAGACCTCCCAGAGAGAGAACACCTGTGTGCTTGTACCTCTCTTTAGCCTTAGGGCCTGAGCATAAAGTAGGTGTCAAGTACTGTAGCTGCTTTTGGTTTCTTTGTTTGCGTCTGACATGGGGAAACAGGTGATTGAAAATGGACAGCATATATAAATAAATGGAGTTGGATAAGTTCTGTGAAGAAAACTCATGCTGAGTAAGGGATTGAGACCAAGAGAGAAGGCTATAGAGATAGGGTAGTTAGAAAAAAGACCCCCCAGGAAGGGAAGGAGCAAAGCATGTGGACCTCTGGGAATAGTGTTCTAGGCAAAGCACAGCAAGTGCAAAGGCCCTGAGGTGGCAGCATATATTTGCTGTATTTGAGGAAAGGACCACACAAGGTGTGATAAAGCTTAATAAGGACTTTGGCTTTTATCCTGAGCATGATGGGAAGACAGGACAGGTCTTCCAGAGCTGCTACCTGAGTGATTAACTGCCTTGTGGGGCTGGCTGGGGTTCACAAGCCAGCCAGGATGCCCCGGGCAATGGGAGAGGTGTTTCTGGCTTGGACTCACTTGTTATTGCTACAATAGATCCCCGCTGCCCCTAGAAAGCCCAAGGTCTTCATCTGAAGTCTGTGGAGCTGCAGGATAACATTCTCAACCAGGGCCACATAGAGTCACCTGGGAAGCCCCCCCACCAATGCCAAGTTCCGCCTCTGCCCCACTGATGCAGGGGATGAGCATCACTCATTAAGAACCACTGTTTCAAGGGCCTGTGGATGGACCTCTCGTCCCACCCCCTATTCTATCTGCATGTACATTTGGTGTAAAAGGGATGAGAAGATCCATGGCTTTCATCAGATGTCCCCAAAGATCCAGAGTCATATTCTAAGGTAGAGGGGGTCTTCCAGGGAAAGCTAGTTTAGAGCCCACCACCCGGGGTGCTCACTGCTCCCTTCATCCTACACCCCCCCCCCCCCCCCCCCCCCCCCCCCCCGCCACTTCCTTTGCTTTGGCTCCTCCATCTCTTCCCTCTGCCTGGATTTCTTTTGATGGAGCATCTCCTTCCAGCACTTAGCGTGCTGCCAGCCTTCAATATGTCTTCAAATATGAGTAACCCGTTCTCCTTCCAGACCCGAGGCTCCGTTCAGTCAGTCTTTTCTGGGCTCTTTCTGTTTTCTTTCCCCAGGGTCTTCCTGCTTCTTCTGCCCCAGAGGAGCTGGTTCCAACCACCCTGTCCTCCCCCACCCAGGACTCAGTATAGTGCTTAGGACACGAAGAGAAGGTTTGGTTGTTCTTTTATTAAATATATTTTTATTGATTTCAGAGAGGAAGGGAGAGGGAGAGGGAGAGAGAGAGAGAGAGAAACATCAATGATGAGAATCATCAATCGGCTGCCTCCTGCACCCCCCACACTGGGTATTGAGCCTACAACCTGGGCATGTGACCTGACCGGGCATGTGATCTCCTGGTTCATAGATTGATGCTTAACCACTGAGCAACACTGACTGGGCATGAAGAAAAGGGTTTTGTTTCATTTCCATGAACACTATCTCTGCTTGTCACCCACACTTCAGAGCCCAGGGCCCCCTTCAAGCCCTGGTCCTGGGATAAAGGCCAGGTGACCTGGGCCTGGGTGTGCTGGGGAGAACGTGCAGGAGACGGCAGCAGGGGTGCCTGGGGCCTGGCTCCCTGAGGACAGCACTGTCTGGCTTTGGCGGGCACTGAGCTCATCTGATGGCGATGGTCCCGAGAAGTTTCTCTGTCTGTGTGGGGTGTGGGGTGTGGGGTGGGCAGTGTGCTCTATATGGAGCTGTTGTCAAGCACCTGAGGTTCAAGGCACAGTTTAAGGCCCATCTCAGCCACTTACAAACCGTGTGGCTGTAGGTTATTAACTATCTCCGGGATCAATGTCTCACGTGTGAAGAGACACGAGGGAACAGGGGTTCAGAGGATTATGTGAAATAACAAATATAAATTTGATCCCCTTGTTCCAATTCTTTCCAGACACAGACCCTGTCCCCTGGGTCCAGCATGGCGTCTCCCTGAGCAGCTTCCTGCTTCCCTGGCTGCTCCCAGGACACCTCTTCTTCCCCCACCAGCTCCTTAGGCCCAAGGAATCCATGGGCCTAGCTGAGCCACTTAGTAATGGGCTGCAGTGCAGGGCTCTTTCTGCCCAACCCCTTGCTTCTCTCTTCTTGGCCAGGGCCAAGGCCTGCGGGCCTTCCGCCTCCTCCTGCTCCTGCCCGCTATTCCTCCCAGCTGTTTCCTCAAATAGGTGGAGGTTAATTCACCTAGAACAGTGGTTCTCAACCTTGGCTGCACATAGAATCACCTGGGAATCTTTTTAAAATCCTGATTTCTGGGCCTCATCCTCCGGAAATTCTGTTTCTTTGTTATGGGGTGGGGCCACCCACCCCATAACAAAGAAACAGAATTTCCGGAGGATGGGGCCCAGGAATCAGGATTTTAAAAAGATTCCCAGGTGATTCTAATGTGCAGCCAAGGTTGAGAACCACTGACCTAGAAGGAGGAGCCTGGCGGGCACAGGTGTGAGACATTTTAGTGTCCGCTTGTCTGAGGACATGAACTGGCAGTGAGAAAGCCGAGGTGCTAACCCAGCCGTGGGCAAACTACGGCCCGCGGGCCAGATCCAGCCCGTTTGAAATGAATAAAACTAAAAAAAAAAAAAAAAGACCGTACCCTTTTATGTAATGATGTTTACTTTGAATTTATATTAGTTTACACAAACACTCCATCCATGCTTTTGTTC